TTATAGTTTCAGTTAAGCCAGCGGGTTTAGTAGCTTGTAGTGAAAATATCCACTTTGTCTCTCTCTGCAGTAGTAGCTGATCTACATCCCCTCCTCTTTCTACTAACAATCAGATAATCGACCGATTATTCCTCATACAGAATTTTTCTTCCAATTTTCTTATAGTGTGTACCCAGCTTTACTTTTAACAATCTTCTCATATGTGCAAATGTGCTTTTAACATCCACATTGAACATACTGTATTTAAGCATGGTATTTGACCGCTGGGTGCTGCCATCTTGGATGTAATGTCAGCAGCCCCAGCATACTCAAGTAACACATAGTATTCCTCTTTGTTCTTCCCCCAGCTGCTGCATAAAATGTTATGTAATAGGTGGACCAGCATAGGCAGACAAGAACCGGACACTCCCAAAAGAGGATGAGGCTATGATGTGAAAGGAGGAAGAGGGCTTGCTAGGGAATTGACCCTTTCTGAAATCAATTCCATTAGTTTCCCCTTTTGTGAGAGTAACAAGACTTTTTAGAGGACTCTTATGATCATATACACTACCATTATATGATCAGCATTGTAATAACAATAGAAACAATAGTTATTTTTGACAATCCAATGTAAGTTTACTTAACAAAATTCCTTTCATGCTGTGAGTGCTGTCTGTCTTTTGAACATTTCTTTCCACATCTTCCTGGAATCCCTGCATGCTTTGCAGCTTCTCATTCGGGTTACTTGAATTCCCAAGGACTACATACCCCTTGGTACCTTGCTGTCTGCAAGGGCTTAACTGCCCTCAGTACCCGCCTCTAACACCTGGCAAATTTTTTTAAAGATTTGGACAGAGTGGAGATGTATTAGAACACCTGTTAGGTTTTACTGCTTCCCCTGTCCCCATTAGGGAGTTTAACCCCGTCTAATAATCCTGGTTACCATTATTATCGAAAGTGAAAGCAACAGAAAATCCCAAATTTTGGGTTGTCTCCAGAACAGTAAGCGAGGGGGAAACTTCCAATGGGGACACTGGTTTTGGTGACCTGAGGGCCCCCAATGGATTCCCTTAATTCACTTAGATTTCCTCTCATTTCCTGTTTTGGCTATGGGACAGGAAGTGAAGGTATATCTTCCCAATGGGACAGAGATGGCAAAAAAACCTGACAGGGGTTATAACCGTCCTTTACGTGATCCAATATGAAAAAAAAAACAGGTTTTGCCTATAGTTCTACTTTACCATAAAAATCCTAGCATTTAGTACCACTTTCAGTAGTGGTGGGCACCAACAATCTGAATTGGCTTTTCATATTACTGCCAGTCTTGTGATGTTGTAGTTACTTAGGTAGGTGTTGCTCTTGGTAGGTGTTACAAATTCTGTGAGCAGTTTCCTTTAACACACATAGACATCAAATTACTTTATATGTTTTGGTCTTACTTTAAGGCTATACATTCTTAATGTTTTAATAATTTTTTTGTGTAAAAAAATATTCAATTTCTGCTTTGAGTTGTACTTAAAAATAAAAAAAAATAAAACGTAAGACTATGAAAATACATAATCCACCTTGTCGTGTTTAGGGGATAATACAAATCTGGAATCCAGTTCCTACATTGACAGGTAAAAATATACAAACTGGGGCTGGATGATGATTTATGAGTCTGCATACATATAGATTTCCAGTTTCCAGCAGCAATTGATTTACAATACATACTGTGAAATATGGTGGAGTTTGGATACCTTGCAAAATTCAAAAGGTATGCAAATCAGCTACACAACATAAGTGTGAAAAAGACATAAACAATATCACATTCCACAGAGTATTTTTATATTGAACTTATACATTTCATATAATAAAATGTTAACTGTTTTCTTATGCAAAATCAGTTTTTGTTACAGAGGACTAAATGAGAAAAAGATGGAATTAAACTTTCAAAATTAACATTTAAGAGAAGCTCAGGCAAAATGCAGGCTTCAGTAATAAATAACTATTATGAAAAGCTTTTTAATAGTATCTGTTCTTTTGTTTAGGCTGTAAAAGCGGTATTTGTAAAACAAAATTACTACTCATTTTTTAAAGGAAACATACTGAGAGAAATATCGGGCTACCATTGCTGACCTCCTGAAACGGGTAGGTTGTCTTACTGTCTGTAACCTCAGTACCCTGGGGATGATTTACTAAAGGAACAGAGAATGTTCGTTGGATTATAAAATGGGCTCACTTGTACTTGCTGGAGTACAGAGGCTACTAGACTCAATCACAGTTCCAAGCACACGACAAATGTAGGCTCAGTCTAGGGTATGTTTTTTGTGGATTTATTGCAGAAAGCTTGAACAGGAGAGGGATAAGGGTGCAGGATACTCCAAAACTTTAAAAGTAAACTAACAGGAGGACAAACTTTAGGCAGAATACTCTTGTTATAGCCTTTGCTCGGGGTAGGAGGAAATAACCAGCTAATCTGGGGCTCTGCACAAGCAGTCCTAGTCCTTATAGCAACCACTGGCACTTATGTCCCCAAACAAATGCACATCAGGAGTCTTTAGCAAGGGTCCTACTCACAATAACACAATAGGGAGACCTAACTGGAATTAGAAAGAGATCACTACTCCCCTGGCTACAGCAGCCCAAAAACTAAATTTAGCCTAACTAGGGCAGGGTGCGGCATGCATTAGGTCTAGGGGTATAGTAATAATGAGCAACACCTACCAAGCTCCTTCCATTTGTGTGACCATTCCCCAGCAGTTTCTCTGTGGTAGCACGTTTGCTTTCTCCACATGCAACACAGGACTAATAGTGCTGCATTGTAAGTGATGACTTTGAGAGGCTGCTCACAGGCCAGAGCGTCTGGGGGAAAAGAAGCGTACCGGAGCCTGAAGGAGCGAGGGGTGAGGTAATACAGCATCTTTCTCTGACCCCTAACAATTAATTAAGGAAAGAGAGGCGCCTTCTAAGTGCAGTATAAAAAGATATTTAATAAGCCACAAATGGTAAAACTCACAATGTGGAAGTGATAAAATAGCCCATCAGTATAGCCGTGATCCTAGTCCTGCAGGAATCCGTCCGGTGGGGTGCTAACTGCTGTAGATGGTGGAAGGGATCCCAATCTGCTGTGGATGGTCAGGAGTCCCAGGCACCATTGTCTGACCGGAACCGGAGGTACCTGTAACCAGTGTGAACCGCAAACCAGGCGGAAGTGACATCACAAAGGAAGAGTTCGACCGACAGAAGGGAAGAAACAAGGCTACATGCTCGGAGCTAACTGCTCCTTCTACAGGCCTGCGGTTCACACTGGTTACAGGTACTTCCGTTTCTGGTCGGCTATACTGATGGGCTATTTTATCACTTCCACATTGTAAGTTTTACCATTTGTGACTTAATAAATATCTTTTTATACTGCACTTAGAAGGCATCCCTCTTTCTTTCCTTATTATGCATACAGAGTTGGCTCACTCTGGGGCGGCTGCCACCTAAAGCGGTTACCAACTACAGACTTTATTGGGACTTATGAACTGGTTACAATATATATTAGTGCGCTGATATTTCTTCTTTTTTAACAAATAATTAACCCTTATCTCCCCTTCCAAGCCCCTAAATGCAAGCGGACCCCCCCCCCCCCCCACACACACACACCTTCTTTCATGTAAATTTCTAACTGTGTATGTGGTTTTTCATTCAGGAAATTACATTCATTCCAAATTGGGAAAAGCAAACTAAAGTTTTAGGTACTTGCGTATGACATTCAACATGTCTCTGTAGGCATTATCATATTTACTGATCAGATTTTACATATGAATGTTAATATGAATTAATGAAAATATACCAATGTATGACCAGCTTAAGGAAATACTGTATAGTAAAAGAAACTTTAAAGTGGTAGTAAACACCACTTGGACACTTGTACCTACAGGTAAGCTTGTAATGAAGTTTACCTGTAGGTACAAGGAATAACTCCTAAACGTGCACCACTCAGGAGATATTCACTGTCTCTGCAGCTGGTGATGTCAATGGTACATGTGCTCTGAAGGGACGGCATACTCATGTGACGTCACCGCGGCTCAGCCATTCAAATGGCCGGAACCGTGAACTTGGAAGGAAGACCAAGTGAAGGTGGAAGCACTGTCAACGTTGACAGTGCGCAGCTGAAGGGCTTTATTTTTAGGTAAGTCTTTCATAAAGTGCTAGTATGTGATGCATACTAGCACATTATCACATTGTCTTGCAGGGAGAAGATTTTTTTTTGGCAGCCTTTACTACTGCTTTAGAGTGTGCTCAGAGATATAAAATAAAAAGATGCTGGAATAGAGGATCATGCCTGCAACACAAAATTCACCCCTAACAGCATCAAGTGTCCTGGACTATCTTCTCTTCTCTTGTGAAACATCTTGGTAGAAAACATTAATAAGCTCTTACTTGGCATTATGCCCACTAAGTAAACTCTAACCTTCTTAAGATGCTAGCAATGCTGTTTCTGCTGTACCAGTTATTTGATTCAATCTTCATCCAGAAGAGATTATTGAATGCATTCAGCTTCATGGAGCTTACTGAACCACCACTATGTCTTATAAAAGGCTGTCCTGGACACCACCACCACATATAGCCAGATCCATCTTTCTAGATGCATGTCCTTCTGTTCTATATGCTCCTCAAAGCATTTTTCCCAACAGCAATGCAGTCACATGCTTCTCCTTTAACACATGTAGTGAAGAGCCACCATACCATATTGACGCCCATAACATGTTCAGTGATAGGCCTTGTTCACACAGGATTACCTGCACAGAAAGCACTGGTGTTCCATGCATCCACGTGCAAGCAGTCCTATTCATATTAGTTGGGACACAGACCAAACATACCTGCTGATCCCACTTTGACATCTGTGTAGGTGTGGGTGCATGTCCTCGAACTCACACTGTCTGCCTTTGGGGACACGCACCCACGCAAATGTCAAATTGGGAGTAATGGCTCCAACACAAGTAACTAGTGAATCCTGTGCAGGCTAAACACAGCCCTCACAAGGGTGTACACTTAAAGTGGAGCTCCACCCAAAAGTGGAAGTTCCGCTTTAAGGACTGCTCCCCCACTCTCCATTAAGGATTGGCACCTTTGGAGGGCGGGTACCTGAATTTGACAGGTACCCTTGCCACTCCCTCCCTCCCTGTAGTCTTTTGGGACATGAGACAGGTCCCAGAAGACAACAGGACCATTCATGAAGCGCAGCGCTACTCGCGCATGCGCAGTGGGTACCCGGCTGTGAAGCCGCAAGCTATCACAGCTGGGTGCCCACACTGAAGATGCTGGCCTCCTGGAATACAGGAAGGCCGGTGAAACAGGCTGCGGGGGACACATCACGGGACAGAGGTACAGGTAAGTGGCTGTTTTTTAAAAGTCAACAGCTACAGTTTTTATAGTTGCTTTTATTTTTTGATAGGGTGAGTGGAACTCCACTTTAAGTACGTCTGCATGAACAAAACCATAATGTTAAGGTTACTGTTGCTGCACTAAACTGGGAAAGCTAACAACTTTCCTTGTTGGATCTTGTCACTACAAATATTGTAACTGCTGACTTTACCTGTCCAGGAATCCAGCACTGTTCTTACCCGGGCCGGTTCTTTGCTGGTCTTCGGGTCCCCAGCACCAGCATGATTACTGTGGAAAGCTGACTGTATCTCCCATAGCCAGCTTCCTATTGCACTTTGTGAATGTCCCACAAGCCTCCTGGGAAATGTACCGTGTCCCAAGAGGTTGCGGGAGGGAGGGGAATGCAGTACTTCCTAGGTGATTCCAGCAGAAGTGGGAGTAGGTAAGTGCCAAAATTAAGTACCTGCTCCCCCCCAAAAAAAATCATGTGCCAAAAATGTTAGAGCAGGTGGAGAGGACATAAAGTGGAACGTTGGTGTGAAGTTCTGCTTTAAACAGCTCTGGTTTAGTGTGCAGGCAAGTATGAACTAAAAAGAAACAAACTTCCAATATAATAGTTAATATAACATATAAAATTGCTACACAATATTTTTTTTATTTTAAATATGAAACATTCTTTCCATTTCAATCTGCAGTTGTTAATTTCTAAAACTGTCAAAATGTAAATGCAATATATATTTATTTGGAGGCATTCTGTACGGTTTATGTGTTCCTAAGGTGATTCTAAAGGATGAAAGCTTTTATCTTCAGGCATTCTATGCATGAAGGTAAAATACTTTTAGTATGAAACCAACTCTACAGCCCACCCTAATACTTATGCGAGCCTGATCGCGATCCAGTGATGTGCCCAAGAGCCGCTGCTCTCCTGTCTCTCTGCCTCCCCATTGGCTCAGAGACAGCAGTGGGAGCTATTGGTTCCCACTGCTGTCAATCACAGCCAGTGAGGAGAGGGGGCAAGCCCCGTTCTGTGTCTCATGGACACACAGAGTGGGACTCGGAATAGAGCATTCATAAATGCCCCCATAGCAAGCGCCGTGCTATGGGGGCACTCAACAAGGGGGAGGAGCCAGGAATACCGGTGGGGGACCTGAGAAGAGGATCTGAGCCTCTGTGTGTTCTCGTGCACTCCTACTGTGTCATCTACTGCCTTCTGTTGCCAAGGCCAGGTACCTGCTTGGGTGAATTAGAGGACTGCAACCTGAGTATTGCCTGCAGCGTAACATCTCCCCTCTAGATGCTCTAGTGAAGTACCTTAGACTTGGCCCTTCTTAGTGATTTCACCAGCACTACTTGAGCTCTCTGATAAACAGGGAGGCAACCAGCAGTGATGAAATATTCCTCAGAAATGCACTTGGTAGCTACACAATGAAGACTCTCAACAAAGTTTTCAAATGCAAAGAAATTACACTGAAAACAAAGATCAGACTTGTCTATGCTCTCATTTTCTCAGTTGTCAATTATGGTTGTGAAAGTTGGACACTATAGAAACAGGATAGAAAAATCAACTCATTTGAGCTTTGGTTCTGGAGAAGGATTTTATGTGTGCTGTGCAACTAATACATAGATTTTGGAAGGGATCAAACCAGCTATGTCACTAGAAACCCTTATTATGAAGCTGTGACTGTCCTATTATGGTCACACCAGGGGCAGACTGATCATTCGGGCACTGCCCTTGGTCCCAGAGTCAGTAGGGGGCCCCATGAAATGCCCCTGGTACCTTTTTTATAGGCTTTTTTGGGTGTGCTTTGAGTGTGGGCAAGGACACAGGGGCCCCATGATCCCCTATTGCCCAGGGGCCCCATGAGTTGTCAGTCCGCCCCTGGATCACACTTTCAGAAGTGAGAGATAACTGGAGAAGGAAATGTTTGGGTAGATTGAATAATTCAGGCGAAGAGGTGGACCGACTACTAGGTAGATGGACACCTTGACTGCAGCTGTGGGGATGACACTAAAGGACCTCATAAGACTAGCACAACACAGACTTCTTTTTAGAGCTCTTATTCATGAAGTCGCTAAGACTCAGATTCGAGTTGATGGCACTTAATGATAAGTGAGTGAGCAAGCCAAGCTTTCTGTGCCTACTTTATGGCTTTTGCCATCATCTGCCTAGTTGCTACAACGAAATCCTGGTCAGCCATTCGGCCCCTAGTGATAGTGGATTCTCAATCCATCTCAAACCCAAACCTGTAGATGTTCAACTCTCTGATAAACAAATAAAATATTTTTATTTTTGGCTTTCCTGCTGGTGAAACTGGATTTCACAGCTCCAAAGAAAAAAAATTATTTTTGGTTCAGTACCTTCTAACATGATAGTGACAGGATGCTTCTTATGTTATGGTGACACTGGACCCGGTATCAGTGCAAAAATGGTAAGGTAATGCGCACTCACCAGACGTGCATAATATTTGCGCCTTGTAATAATAATCCAGATGTCATCAGGTAGAGAACCGGTTTGGAGATGGTCTTCCCTCTATGGGCTAATGGGTCATCACATAGGATAATAAGAGGCTGACGAAGACACTCTTCGTCCACTAGGTGTCTCTCTCTCCAGTAGGTGTCTCTCAGGATGTATGAGTATCCTCTAGGATGTACTGGTCCGTCCCTGGTATAGTGGGTCTGCAGGCTTAAAAAGCTCCCCCGAGGGGTAGGGACAAAGGTACAGAGGCTAGCAGCGCGATCACCCACCCTATAGACACATTCAGTCCTTTGCATTGAAGATCGGACAAGTGGATGAGTGAAAAGTTTAAACGATGCAAGAGATCTGCCCGATCCAGCCAAATGTGTGCGATGTGGAGCCCCCCCGGGTGATCCCATACGATGGGGGTCTGCAGTGTTCAGATGAATGGGCGATCAGGGCGTAGCTGTCTATGCAGCTGCTGCATCGCCTGCTCTCTGCTCCCAGCATGGGATCACCCGGGGGGGCTCCACATCGCACACATTTGGCTGGATCAGGCAGATCTCTCGCATCGTTTAAACTTTTCACTCATCCACTTGTCTGATCTTCAATGCCAAGGACTGAATGTGTCTATAGGGTGGGTGATCGCTTGCTGCTAGCCTCTGTACCTTTGTCCCTACCCCTTGGGGGAGCTTTTTAAGCCTGCAGACCCACTATACCAGGGACGGACCAGTACTTCCTAGAGGATACTCATAAATCCTGAGAGACACCTACTGGAGAGACACCTAATGGATGAAGAGTGTCTTCGTCAGCCTCTTATTATCCTATGTGATGACCCTTTAGCCCATAGAGGGAAGACCATCTCCAACCGGTTCTCTACCTGATGACATCTGGATTATTATTACAAGGCGCAAATATTATGCGCGTCTGGTAAGTGCGCATTACTTTACCATTTTTGTACTGATACCGGGTCCAGTGTCACCATAACATAAGAAGCATCCTGTCACTATCATATTGGGACTTTCTATTGATATTAATTTTATTGATTTTTATTGGCTCACATTTTAGCACTGCACATATTTGTTTATTGTTGTCAGTTTTGAGGTGTCTTATTGGTTACCTTTCTGTGCATGGTCGCTTTTACCTTTATTATTTCTTTGGCGCTCACTATTTCTCTTTCATATCTTAGTACCTTCTAACATGTTCATTAAAACTCATATCTATAATTGGGTTCAGGTCAAACAACATGTGAGAAGTGTGTGGTAACCTTTTTCTTATTCCATGAAAGGAAAGTTTTCTTATCTACAACCTTCACTAAAATAACTATAAAGTGCTTCAGTTATTACTTCTCACTTTTAAAATGATGGACTTGATATTAGCTCAGCCCAGAAGAAGCCTATCCCCACTATGAACAAGCAAGGGGTCCTTCTTAGAAGAACTCTTTTTACTCCCTATGATAAATACTTCTATTGCTTTAAACCTTTTTTAGAACGATACCCTTTGTTAGCAACGTGAAAGTGCCTGGAAACATCCAGCAGATACATCAACAAAACATATCTACTTTTTCCATTTCATTGCTGAAATTGTACTACTTTTCTTTTTTGTCTAACTCCTGAGCAGGCTGCTAACAAAGCCCCTAACACCCCTCATCAGGAAGTGGTTTGATCAAAATGTCACAAGAATAGTCAAATCATCACCTTTTTGGCCAGATTTTTGCATTATCAGTTTCTTATATCTGTTTCATAAAATAGTTTTTTATCATTGTGCTTATATCAGTTTATTTTGTGTCTTGAAATCTAAACCCACATTTCTGGCTTGTTTAAATTGTTTAAGGTATGTTGGCACAATCATTATTTTTTGCAATTATTATTCGTTACTTATTCTGTTATGCTGATACAGGCCTTTTAAAGTTCTGATCCTCCACCTGTATATCCCTGATCTATCTTTTATGTAGTTCCCAGTAGGTGGTTAGTGCCTGTTTATAAGAAACTGGCTGTATTATATAATTCTTAAAACTACTGAGACAGCCAGTGGTTACTGAGTGTATTTTATGTATTAAACTCCAGGCATCTAAACTGACTGCTTCCTTAGGCTTGGTTCACACGCTGTAAGTGAGTGGACATTTTGTGAGTGTATGTTGCAAATACAGTTGCCCATTATTTTGAATGGGCTTCTGTACCTGTGAGAAATGTAGGGACAGAAGTCCCTGACCCTTTTTTAAAAATGCACCATAGGGAATAGATTTGCATGCACCAAAACATATGCAAATGTCAATACATGGAAGTGCCATTAAATTGTTATTAAACCCACAACAGTAAAATTAGTCTGTATATGCCGTAAAGCATGCTTGTTATACTCACTGTGGAACCTAAGGGCGTAATCCTCCGCATTGTGTAAAAAGGCTGTTTGATCCTGTCTTCTCTGATCCTCCCCTTCTTCAGCTGTCCCCAATCCATTTACCGATAGCACAGAGCTCTTGGAGTCACTCTGCACGTTTGGTGTGTATTGCTAGAGTTTTTTTTTTTCTTTGGGGGGTGCATGTGATGGCACAGGGCCAATCAGCACTGTCCAGAGGGTCAGGGGTTATGCAGAATTATAGAACAGTGAGAGCAGAATGAAAACTCTTCCTACAAGCTTTAACCAGTACTCAGCTGGACACTGATAGAAGTCACAATTGCTATGTACTGCTGATGATAAAGGTATTTAGCAATTTATATTTACTATAATAATTGCATTTCCATGTTGTGTGTACTGTGGCAGATCAGATATAGTGAATGCAGGGTCCTGGGTTTAGTAACACTTCAAGAATTAATGGCACTTTACTTACATAATTTATATTTGTTAAATGTTGCGATTTGCAAGACATCTGACACAGATGTCTATGCAAATCGCAACAAAAGTAGTGCATGTACTACTTTAGAAATTGGACCCGCACCGATGTGACCGCTCTAATAGTGGACAATAGGGTGCAACTTGGCATACGATTTGCAAGTCGCATGGCATGCAAATCGCATGCCAAGTCACACCCGATGTGACCGGGGTGTAAATGCAATTTATACTCCCCTTTCATCCAGCGTTCCTGTTCCTCACCGGATCCAGCATCTTCTCCTGTGTGCTAGTTTTCATTGGCCGGAGCAGAAGGCAATCATTCCAGCACACAGGTATTGGGCCAGCCACTGTAAGCTGAGCTGCGCATGTGCAGTTTCATATACATGCTGGGAGATCCTATTAACAGACAGGTAAGTTATTTTATTGCAGAGAAAAAAAAATGTGCCTGCTCACAGTGAACAACAGCAGAATTTTAGTTCTGCTTTAAAAAATATGTAAAATTTGCTGCTCAGTATTGTGGATGCTCTTTTCTGATAACCCCAGCACTCAAAAACATCCTACTTAGTTATCTTTGTTTATGAGGAGATTGAGGGTCTTTCTTTGCCATAAACAACCCAGCCTGTACTGTGATGGCAGATCTCATTATCAGTTGTACACTAGACTGGAACACTGGCTAAAGATTTAGAAGCCAGGAAGGAAACTTGGCCAGTCCCAAGTCTTTCTTTTGGGACAGACTCATTCTGAACTTCAGATAGTTTGCAGTTTCCCATGACACCTTCTCCTAAGAAACATATTAAAGGTAAGAAATATTTTTTAAAAATGTGCATGGCGTTGACATTGCTTCTTTTCTGACAACCTCCAGGGCATCTTGTCGTATCTCTGCTGCCTGAGACTGCACATACTATTGCAATGATCACTCACTTGCATTAGTGTTCATGCACACTGGACGTTTTTAGAAGAGTTTTTTAGCTGTAAAAACGCTCTAACGCTGAAAGACACGGCAAAATGCCACAAACCGGCATTTTTGGACTTTTTTTTTGGTAAAAACCGCAAACGTGGGAAAACACAGCTAAACACATAAAAACGCCACTAAACACTAATGCAAATATGCTAAAAAAAGCTGAAAAACTCAGGTTTTTAACGTGACTTTACACAGCTAACGATACCAGCGTTATCAAAACACCCCGTGTGCATGGAGCCTTATCAGCTTTCCCAGAACTCCATAATGGTGACATCCTCAGGCATTGTTTCCCTGTGTCACCTAGCTTCTGATGATGGTGAGACATTATTGGACTGAAAATTTTGACAGCGTAGAGAACACTCATATCCCTTTCTGCCTAGGGTCCCAATTTAAAGCGGAGCTCCACTCAAAAGGGGAAGTTCTGCTTTAAGGACTGCTCCCCCACTCCCCATTAAGGATTGGCACCTTTGGAGGGGGGGGGGGGCAGGTACCCGAATTTGACAGGTACCCGCTCCCACTTCTGGTCCGATCATCTAGACGATCGGAAGCGGAAGGTGTCCTCCCTCCCTGTAGTCTTTTGGGACATGTGACAGGTCCCAGAAGACCACAGGACCATTCATGAAGTGCAGTGCTACTTGCGCATGCGCAGTGGGTACCCAGCTTGCAGCTTCACAGCCGGGTGCCCACACTGAAGAAGCCGGCCTCCTGAAATACAGGACGGCTGGTGAAATGGGCTGCAGGGAACACACCGCGGGACCGAGGGACAGGTAAGTGGCTGTTTTTTAAAAGTCAGCAGCTACAGTTTTTGTAGCAGCTTTTATTTTTTGACAGGGTGAGTGGAACTCCACTTTAAATATTTTACACAATTTTTGAAGACTTATTTTGCATCGTTACTAGCATTCCTTGTCACGTAAATATGAAAGTGAATGATGAGCTCTTAAAGATTGAAGACCTGCGCTCCAAATGATTCACTGCTTCTAATGAATCTAACTGATCTGTAAAAAAGTTTTAGAGGAGGCAATTAAGTTGTTTTAGTGTATCCCATCTTCTCAGGTGTAAATACCAATATGTACATTTAACCGATTCCGGTGAGCTTCTACGTTACAAGGGGTGTTCAAGTCTTATCGTTTTACAAGAATAAAAAGCTAGTGTGGCGGTACTACATGCAGTAGTAAGTGGCAAGGGTGTCCTATTACTAACAGGCAGCACACATGTTGCAGGCCAGTCCAGAGACCGGTAATCAAGATGGCAGACAACAGTGTTAGAGTATGCATGGACCAGCATGTGGTGAAGTTTCTTGTGAACAAAGGCGTAAAACACACGGAAATCCACAGAAGGTGGATCAAGCACAGGATGGTGAGGAGACGCTCAGCCGTAGTAAGACATTTGAATGGTGCAAACATTTCAAAGAACACAATCATTCATGATGTCCTAGGATGGTTCAGGAGTGCTGACAAAGTTTTCTGTGGGATGGGTGGACACAATCATTCATGAATGTCCTAGGATGGTTCAGGCGTGCTGACAAACCTTTCTGTGGGATGGGTGGACACAATCATTCATGAATGTCCCAGGATGGTTCAGGCGTGCTGACAAACCTTTCTGTGGGATGGGTGGACACAATCATTCATGAATGTCCCAGGATGGTTCAGGCGTGCTGACAAACCTTTCTGTGGGATGGGTGGACACAATCATTCATGAATGTCCCAGGATGGTTCAGGCGTGCTGACAAACCTTTCTGTGGGATGGGTGGACACAATCATTCATGAATGTCCCAGGATGGTTCAGGCGTGCTGACAAACCTTTCTGTGGGATGGGTGGACACAATCATTCATGAATGTCCCAGGATGGTTCAGGCGTGCTGACAAACCTTTCTGTGGGATGGGTGGACACAATCATTCATGAATGTCCCAGGATGGTTCAGGAGTGCTGACAAACCTTTCTGTGGGATGGGTGGACACAATCATTCATGAATGTCCCAGGATGGTTCAGGCGTGCTGACAAACCTTTCTGTGGGATGGGTGGACACAATCATTCATGAATGTCCCAGGATGGTTCAGGCGTGCTGACAAACCTTTCTGTGGGATGGGTGGACACAATCATTCATGAATGTCCCAGGATGGTTCAGGCGTGCTGACAAACCTTTCTGTGGGATGGGTGGACACAATCATTCATGAATGTCCCAGGATGGTTCAGGCGTGCTGACAAACCTTTCTGTGGGATGGGTGGACACAATCATTCATGAATGTCCCAGGATGGTTCAGGCGTGCTGACAAACCCTGTGGGATGGGTGGACACAATCATTCATGAATGTCCCAGGATGGTTCAGGCGTGCTGACAAACCTTTCTGTGGGATGGGTGGACACAATCATTTATGAATGTCCCAGGATGGTTCAGGCGTGCTGACAAACCTTTCTGTGGGATGGGTGGACACAATCATTCATGAATGTCCCAGGATGGTTCAGGTGTACTGACAAACCTTTCTATGCCAAAGCTTTCCAGTCATTAGTTAAACGCAGGGATAAGTGTATAAATGTAGCAGGGGAGTATGTAAAAAAATAAATGCAGTTTCCACTCCTTGAAATCTGTTTTCTTATATAAATTTAAAAGTCCCAGTTTGACTTGAACACTCACATGGCAAATGAGAGCTTGGGAGTGCACAGCATACTTCATATCCTATAAAGGCGACGCTACATAATGGATCTTGATCTGAAGGAAAGAGAAGCAGTGTAGGTAATGGAAATATCCCTTATTTGTGAAGTGGCATGCAAGGTTGTGCAATTTCATTGTTCTATTGATGGAAACCTGCTTTAGCAGTTTCAAGGTGATTTTTTCGGTAAAGGAAAGTCAACACAGGCCCTCCTTTGGAAAACGATCTTGTATGATTCGGTTGTTCAGTGGGTTGAAAGGAGCAGGATCTATGCACCTTTCTGCTCTGCTGTAGAAAGGGAACCAAATCAAACTGCTCAGGACATCTTTGTCAAAGAACCCAAAAACTGAAGATTTACATTGTTAAAAAGCGAAAGTTCCACTCTTCCTCCTCCTCGCTCACCCTACCCTGCAGAGTACCAAGTTCTGACAGGTACCCTGCTCCCACTTCTGCTTGAATCGCTTGGGTGATCTGAGCGAACGTTATCCTCCTCCCACACCAGCAACCTTCTGGGACACATCACAGATCCTAGAAGGCTGTGGAACCATTCACAAAGTGCAGCCCGCCTCGTGCATGCGCAGTGGGCAGCCGGCTGTGGAGCTGCAAGAAGTAACAGCCAGCTTCTCACAGTTAAGATGCCAACAGCCAGGGCCCAAAACACAGACACAGCACCAAGTAAAACAGCTCACAGTTAACCCTTTGATCGCCCCTCATGTTAACCCCTTCCTGCCCAGTGCCATTAGTACAGTGTCAGTGCATTTTTTTAGCACTGATCACTGTATTGGTGTCACTGGGGATGTCAGTGGCACCAATTCAGTTCCCCCCAGTGTCAGAATGTCTGCCGCAGTCCCACTATAAGCTGCTGATTGTCGCCATTACTAGTAAAAATACAAAGTAAAATCCCAGTATCTATACCGCCATTTGTAAACGCTATAAGTTTCATGTAAACCAATTCATTTACACGTATTGGGATTTTTTTTAGCAAGAAAAGCAGCAGAATACATTTTGGCCTAAATTTATTACGAAATTTGATTGTTAATTTTTTTTTACTGGTCACGTTTAATAGCAAAAAGTCAAAAATATTTTTTTTCTCAAAATTGTCGTTTTTTTTTTGTACGCAAAAAATAAAACACACAGGCGATCAAATACCACCGAAAGAAAGCTCAATTCGTGGGGGAAAAAAATTGTAAATTTCATTTGGGTGCAGCATTGCATGACCGCGCAATTGTCAAGTAACGCAGCACCGGAATGCATAAAATGGCCTGGTCAGGAAGGGGGGTAAATCCTCAGGAGGGCAAGTGGTTAAGGGCTGCCATTCGTGTCTTGTTACATGTTATCACGTGATTAGTCATAACGATCACAATACCCCATCTGCTCACAGCAGGATGTCTTCTATTTTCACCTAGTGATCTGACCAGTAAGTCTGTTGGTTTTCAAAAGCACAAGCTCCCCTGCAGATGCAGCAGTTAGAGGGTGGAGACAAACCATTTAACACTAGCAGGGGTGCTTACAACGATCAGCTTTTATATATTCATGTAAAACCTTTATCGCAAAAGGAAAAAAAAAATGTTTGCTGTATCAAATTATAAAATGTGAGCTGGGGTTTGGCTTCAATTTGTTTGTGTATTTAAACCTGTTAGTGTATCGAACACTCCCCTCCCCTCAGATTAACAATGCTGCTGATTAAAGGTGCCCCCTGTGCTCCTTCATCCAGAGTGGGGACACTCTAATACAGGAGGTGTGTTACTGGCCAGATCACCAGGTGAAAACAGATGGGGAAAAAAGCCTAAAAAAGAAAAGCAATGCAGCCATCACATCTGATGATTGGTAAGCTGCAATAGATTACATTTTTGGTTTTGGATTTAATACTGCATGCACTGGCAAGGGCCCGTGTTTTTGCATGCCCGTGAAACCGCATGGTGCTGCAGCAGCATGCAATTGTGGCACGATTTAAGAAAAAGGTCCAGGACTCCTTTACCTGGGTTTCATCAACCGACTCCAATGAATGGTCTGCTGTACCTGCGACTTGTGCGTGCAACCACCCTGCACTAGTGTGCACCATGGCTACAGGAACACCCATGGTTCTCTGGGTAGGTAAGTACCGTCCCTGGTGCTGATTTAAAAGAAAATGAAATGACTAAACTTGCTATTTAGGACCACATTCTGGAATAGAAGTGATTTGAAGCGGAGTTTAGAGTGACTGTAAGTATTGGGATGCTGTGAGCGATGGTGACACCTGTCAGTGCGGGGGGGTCCCCTTGTATAAGGGGTTGTCAGCTCCAAGTTTGTGTGAAGTGGAGAGGAGGGTGATCGGGGCAGAGCCGGGTGACAGGCCGCCTGCCCGCCCGCCCGCACGATGCTACAGATCCCGGGGATACTGTGTCCTGGATCCACCCCTGGCTGCTGAGATCACTGGAGACATCGAGAGCCGCGGATCAAGTGCACTGTCCTGTAATCGATTGCCGAGCGCCTGGAGCCGCGAGCCTTTATTTATTGGCCGTGTGTCTGGGGAAGGCTGGCTGCTGCTGCTACTGCCGCTCGCTGGCTGCTTCATCCGTTTCTCTGGGTTTGACCAGCTGTCCCGGGCTAACCCCTGTGCTGAAGATGGAGGAAGTCAAAGCTGGATTACCCTCGGCTCCGCCACTACTACTGCCATAGTTCTGCAGTGCACGAGGCGGGGGGCGGACACACGGCACAGGGATGGAGCGGGGGCCCCGCAGGACCTGCTAAGGTGAGGGCAGTGTGCGGGGAGGGGGCCAACTCGGGCTGTCTGCGCTGTGCCGGGGGCACTGCCTGCCTGTCTGCCTGCCTGACGGGGACTTGTTGCTATCTAAGACGGGGAAGGGGGGAGGGGGGGGGGCTGTCATCCTGCCGGCTGAGCCGGGACATGTGGAGGGCTCATCCGATCCTGGTGACACTGACCGCAGGCAGCCATAGGACCGGGCGACCAGCATTGCAGAGGAGGAAACACCGCTGTCATAGTCTGTGCATGGCAGAGTTCAGGGGATCACCGTGTGCCCATGTCATTTATTGATTGGTGTCCCCATGTCATTTATTGATTAGGATCGTTGTGTCTCCATGTCATTTGACAGGGTTCATGGTGTCCCTATGTCATTTATTGATTAGAATTGTGGT